ACAGTGCCAAACTTGTGAATACAGTAAACCTCACATAAGTCGTATCAGTTGGGACCATCCAATTAATATGATTTATGCAAAATATGAGTTATGTGAAACTTATTAATAATAGAAAATTCAACGGGACTTGGGCAGATATATGACTTAAGCGATTATATGATTTATACACATCAGCATTTTATTGTATGTAGGTTTTTTTCAACCTTTGAGCCATGCTAGTGCACATCTTTGTTCCTATCAATGATCCGCAGTAAGAATAAATGTAACTGGTGCTACCTTACATGCAGGTATCTGACTTGAAGAAACCCATGAGGTCGTATCGACCTGTCTGCTCTCTCCGCTCAGTAGGCTCTGGCATTCTCCACATTCCCCCGCCCCTCCTGCCCCACCATCGGAGGTCAGGCCTTCATCCTATCTGCCCGCCCTTTGGAACTCCGTCCCACAGTCCCTTAGCCTTGCTCCCTCCCTTGCCTCCTTCAGGACACGTCCCAAGACCGCCCTCTTTGACCGTGCCTTCGGTCACCTTCCTACCCTCAACACCCTCCCCTCCACCCCTCCTGATGCCAACCCCCTTCTCGCGTCCAAATCCCTGATTGTCCAGAGCCTTGGTACCTCCTGCCAACATGAATGTTGTTGTTGGGGTGTTATTGGCCAGGACCTCGATTTAATGACTCGAACAAAGTACAGTAATCTCCGACAATGTACTTCCTCCCCACTACACTCTGGGGGATAAACAAAGAAAATAACCAAAGAAAACAAAGGATGTGTACTTTTAAATCAAAAGAATAAAATTAAATCATAATTTGAATGCACAAAATATATATGTATATATATATAAACACACTTAAATCGCAATCCTTGGAAATATAAATTTTATTATATATTAAAAAAAGTTGTACAGCGTTTATCTCATCTAGAGTTGTACAGTACCAGAATTGTTTGCTATTTAGAATACGGATGAGTTGTAACTGTTCTTAGAAGCAATCACTTTCTGGGGAAGAGTGTACCTCAATGTGTGCTTTGAAATAAACTGAATTCCACCACGTGAAATCCCTGAAATAAACCACACGCATGAACACACGCACATACACAGCTGAATGCAGAATCTCTTGCAATATCTCCCCGAATAACCTACACAAAATATAACTTGCACTACGCTAGCTTAGCAGCCCCTTCAATCAACACTCAGACAAAGTAAGATCAGAAATTATACAAAGTGGGGAGGGGGGGGGGGGAAGAGGCGGAAAAATTATTAATTTGATTGAAATAACCTGCGATCCCGAAGGTAAAACTTATTAAACGTTCAACTCGTGTTTTCTCTGCAACTAAACGCGGTCGTGTGGGAAAGCTGTGAAAAGGGTGTGTTAGGCACTTGAAAGGTTAACAGCGAGAGAAGCATGCGATGCTTTCCCTGGGCAGTCAGGAGCGTCCAGAAATGTGGCCTTTCTCACAGTCACTAATGCTTCCCTTCAGCTGCTTTTTTGTTTGTCAGTGGTTTAATGGGTCAAACCATAATATTTTACCTTAAAGGCAAATTGCCCACCAGCAAAAGGAAACAACAATGCTAACCTTACATTTGATACAGCGCCTCACAAGGCAGGAGGATGTCTCAAAGCATGTCACAGGATTTACTGTGAAGTGAAGTGACTGTGTAAGTTTGAGCAGTCAATTTACTCTGGGGTGGGGGGGGGGTGGGGGGAGAAGAGGTGTTTCAAATTTCTCTGTTCCGATTTTCTTGGTTGACGTTAAAAATAGGGCCTGAATTCTACCCTCATTTTTATTTTGCAAATAGAAATTGACTTTAATGGTCTGTATAATCGTGGGACAGTGCTGACACTATGGGTTAAAGAATTGAAATCTTTCCCAAATTACAGAGTTCTTACAAATCGCTGAGCCACACAGGGTTAATGCTGTAATGGATAGGAAATGGTAATAATAATAATCCTTACATTTGATATAGAGCCTTGTCGTTGAAACGTCTCAAAGCGCTTCACAGAATATATTGTAACGTGAATTGACTGTATATTTGGTGGGCGAAACATGGCGACCAATTGCGCACAGCAAGTTCCCACAAACAGTCGTGGAATGAGTGACCAAATTATTTATAATTTTTTTGAATGGATTATTACCCCAGAACGCGATACGTCAATTGATTGCTAGGTAAACAGACATATGGAGTGAGAAAACTTACCTAAGGTTTCGCCCTGCCCGAAGAATCGAACCAGGGTCCTCTTGTTTGCGAGGCGATAATAACACTTGCATCTGACGTAGTCGCTTAACATGCTGGTGAAGTCTGAAAGGACTTGGCAGAATTTGACTGTGAAGCGTAGTGACTGTATAATTTGTAGGCAGACCCAACAGCCAATGTGTTCACAACCAGGCATGAAGTGAATTAGTCGGCTATGGACTGTTGCAGGCAATTATGTAATCCCTCAGCTTGGTGGTTAGCCCACTCGCCTTGCAAGCGAGAGGACCCGGATTTGATTCCCGGGCGGGGAAAAACTTTAGGCAAGTTTCCTAACTCCACACGCCTGTGTTTACCTAGCAGTGAGTTGGAGCCTGGTTGTTAGTCGATTGGCGGATCGCTTTCTAGAGGTAATAATCTCTCAAAAAAAAAATCTGGTCACTCGATCCACGACTGTTTGTGGGACACTGCTGTGCGCAATAGGCTGGCTGCCATTTTCCGCCCATAAGATATGCAGTCAATTGACTAGACGGTGTATTCTGTGAAGTGCTTTGAGACGTTTCGATGCCGTGATATGGCACTATATCAAATGCAAGGACCAGTATTATTATTATTCACCAAACAGAAAGGTAGGGAGGGACCTGGAGTAGAGGGTCGGGATGGTGGGTGGGGGGGGGGGGGGGTTGTCAGGTGAGCTTTGCCGATAGTTAAAAACGTTTAATGCAACTCTTAAAGGCAATGGCACCATGTCGAATTTCAAATAGAAACGAGGGCAAAAGCAGCCGTTCACATCCTGAACTGACTTTCTCTCCCACCCCCCTTTGTTACCTATCTAACTCAAGCACTTCTCTTACCCTCTGCTCTCCCTCCTCCCCACCAACACAACGTTCTCCAGATCTCCTTCCTCTATTAACCAAACGCTGAACTATTTCAGATCTGCAAAGTAACAACAATGGGTTGTCTATGCTCTGTGTTGGAAGGATTTGGTTCGATTGTGGGTAATGGAGCAAATACAGGTCGGTAACAAATGATGTGTTCAATGCAAAACTGCTTGCTGTCAGGAGAATGAAAGGCCAATGCACACGCATACACACACGCGCGCTCATACATACATACAAGAAATAGGAACCCTTATAAAGAGGAAGCAGAGAAGTTATTCCCACAAGTTCCACCTGCGCACTGACTTGTCCACACTTCATTAGTTTCCATCTGTTAAAGATTCAAACAGGAAATGAAATAATAATGCATTTTCCATTGAAGAAAATTCGGATATTAGGTTACAGTCTTATCAGCATTTGCTTTTCATTAAGGGAATGTTGAGACGGAGGTCAGTGAAGGCAGCTTTGGCTTCTCCCCCCACCCCACTCCCCCCACACACATACCCTGAAACCCCCTCAAACACACATTGCCTACATCCCCCCACCTCCACACACACACACGCACATTCCCTCCACACCCAACCCCTCCACGTTCACACACATCCCCTCCAACCCCGCTCCACACACAAACACACACACATCCCCTATTCCCCCCTCCCCTTTCACATACACACCTTACCCCGAAACAAAAACTCAAGCCATTGTTTTCATTCTTAAAAGAAATCCCACATCAACGAGGTTTGGCCAGCAAAATTGACCAAAGGCACTGGTTGTGCATCAAAAATCTGCTCTCGAGCCAGCCTAAAATGCTGGTTCTTTTAAGAAGCAAAATGCTCCATTGACCCAGTACTCAGTCAAGGCTGACTTGGGGCCGTTGACTTGCATACACATCGGAATAAAGAGCAGAGATATTCAGACATTTTGTACAGGGTGTTCACAAAGTCTTGTTACCTCCACCCCCTCTTTGTTTATTTTCTTCTTACAGTGACATTTTATTTTCCTGTTGCAGATGAGTGGAAGGTAACAATGTCTGAGACCAATAACTTGCTCCTCACTCCGATCTATATATATAAACATAATAATCCTTGCATTTGATATAGCGCTTTTCACGTCTTATTGACGTCTCAAAGCGCTTCACAGAATAGACTGTAAAGTGAATTGACCGTATATTTGTGGGCGAAACGCGGCAGCCAATTGCGCACAGCAGCGTCCCCACGAACAGTCATGGATTGAAAGTGACGAATTTATTATTTTGTTTTGTTTTGGAGGGATTATTACTAGGAGTGTGGAGTAAGGAAACTTGCCCAAGGTTTCACCCTGCCTGGAATTGAACCCAGGTGTCTCGCTGGCAAGGCAAGTGCTCTAACCACTGAGCTACAGCTCTAACCACTGAGCTACATGGTGATCGATCATTATCTGCCATGAAAATGATGGCGCTCACTCACTCGCACCCATCCCCTGGACGTCTAACTACAGTTAAACACTGATACTGTATACGATGAAGTACTTCTAAATACAACCGTCATGATTCTTCCACGTGAATATAATGAGAAGCTGTTTCCTCTGGCAGGCAGGTCAGTAACCAGAGGACACAGATTTAAGATAATTGGCAAAAGAACCGGAGGGGAGACGAGGAGATTTTTTTTTTATCCAGAGAGTTGTTTACCTAGCATTCAATGGGCAATCGTATAGGTACTTGAAAAGAAAAAACATTGCAAAGCTGTGGGGAAGGAGTGGAGGAGGGACCAGTTAGCTGGTAGCTCTTTCGAGGAGCTGGCACAGGCACGATGGGCTGAATGGCCTCCGTCTGTGCTGTAGGATTCTGTGTTTCAGTTATCGGTGAATGGACGGTCAATTCACTTTACAGGAGGTGAAGCTCTTTGAGACGTCGCAAGGACGTGACAAATCGCTATATGAAATGCATGGATTGGTGACTATTAAGGTGACTATTAATGCTGCTTGGTGACTATTAAGTTACGTAGCATGTCAAACGAGTTCCCGTCAGGCTGCACAGAGATGATGACGTCATCTTCCTGTTGAACCTGAAGGAAGCCACAGTTGTCCAGGCCGACGATGTGGGCCACGGGGCCGTCCTCCCTCCATAGTCGCACCTGCTGGCCGCTGGCAAGAGAAGAACATCAGCGATTAGTCAAGGCACTAAACCGCGACTGCCAACGCGGACGTGGTATGAGTCAGAGCTTAGTCGATCGTTCGCTGTTTGCGGAGCGCTCGCCTCGCAAGCGAGAGGACCCGGGTTTGATTCTTGGCCGGGGCGAAACCGTAATGCAAGTTTCCTTACTCCACACGCCTCTGTTTTACCCACCTGTAAATAGGAACCTGGTTGTTAGTCGATTGCTCGGAGGATAATAAGCCCTCGAAAAAAAAACAATGTGCTCACTGAATCCACGACAGTTTTGTGCGCAATTGGCTGCCGTGTTTTGCCCACAAGATTCACTGTCACTCCACCCTACAATGTATTCTGTGAAGAGCTTTAAGACGTCTCAATGACATGATAAGGCATTATATCAAATGCAAGGATTATTATTATTGTGTAGGGACGTTAATTTGCGGAAATTGGCTTCCACGTCTGCCCACGAAAACACAGTCACTCCAAATTACAGTGTATGTTTTCTTTGGTCAACTGGTTGTCCAGCTAGGACCAATCTACCTGTTAGGGCTTTGGCTTGCAGGGTTAACAGGAGCTGAGTGAAGTGATTCTCAGCCCCCAAGTGACTGGTCTGTCCTTCTAGGTCCTGCCGATGAGCCAGTCTGGGCTGGGTTGTGATCAGCAGCGCCCTGGAATACTGCGGACCCGCCTGGCTCAGGAACCGGACTGGAGACCGCCACACAGGGTTGACTCGAGTCTGATATTCCATTCCGAGATGTCACCTCGGAGCTGGCTTAGTTCCAAGGATACCCCTCTAGACCCGTTCCCCCCCCACTTCCAGGAGAATAGTCAAGAGAATATAAAGGTACATGACATGAGGACAGATTGTCCAGCGCCACCTAGGCTTTTAACACAACTAAAGTGTTTTATATTTGCTCAAATCCCTCTTTAGAATCGATATTCTTCCTGTTCAAATCATTTTTCGTCTACTCTGATCTGATTCAAGTTAATTCCACTCTCCCCCCACTCCCCTGATCAGCCCTGCCCAGAGGTGCTCTATGATACAATATGATTTCGCCGCAAGAAATATTTTTTTTCTTAAACATATTAATGCGAGTTAATTATCCTGCTCTTCTCAAGGTGAAAGGGCAAAGACGGTGATTTGGTTAAAAGGCTGGCATGCCATTAAAGGATCATCCTATTGATTTAGTCAGCCAGCAAACAGACAGCTCACAAACACGCCAACCGACCTGCGGCAAACAAGCACAGATCTGTCTTGGAGACACAACCAAGGTGCTTTGGAGCTCAACCGTTACGGCAAATCCAATGTTACAATACGAATAATCCTTGCATTTGATATAGCACCTTATCACGTCGTTGAGACGTCTCAAAGCAGAATACACCGTAAGGTGAATTGACTTTATATTTTGTGGGCGAAACGTGGCAGCCAATTGCACACAGCAGTGTCCCAGATGCAGCTGTGGATTGACTGACCACATCATTTATTTTTTATTCATGTATTTATTTATTTGAAAGGATTATTACCCCTGAAAAGCGACCCGCCAATCGACTAACAGCCAGGTTCCTACTTACTGCTAGGTAAACTGAGCCGTGTGGAGGAAGGAAACGTGCCTATGGTTTCACCCAGCCCAGGAACCAAACCCGGATCTTCTCGCTTGTGAGGCGAGCGCGCTAACCTCTACTGTTGTTTAAACCTGTAAGAACTTGATTTTACACAGTGCACTTCATATTGAATAACATCCCAGCATAGGCACTGAGCAGGAGAGAGGCAGAACGTGGAGAAGTGATCACAAAGTGTTAGGTTTCGATGTGGAAGTCAGATATAGAGGGGGAGCCAGGGCAGGAGTGGGGCAACAGATCTTCAGATGAGACATTAAGCTGAGGTCCCGTCTGCCTTTTCAAGTGGATGTTAAAGATCCCAGCACCCTCCCACAACCCCCCATTTGTTTTTCCACTCTCGTCTATCTTTAGTTCCTTCTATTCTTTGGAGTCCTGTAGTGAATTAGTTATTGCGCTCGCTTCATAAGCGAGAGGACCTGGGATCGATTCCCTGGCGGGGTGAAACCGATTGGCGGATTGCTTTTCCGGGGTAAATAATCCCTTTCGAGAAAAATAATAATTTGGTCACTCAATCCACGACTGTTTGCGTGCAATTGACTGCCACCTTCTTCTCGCAAAATATGCAGTCAATCTACTTGACAATATAGTCTGTGAAGCTCTTTGAGATGTCTCGCCGACGTGACAAGTCGCTACATCAAATCCAGTGGTTATTATTATTCTTTTGTTCCCTGACCAGCGCAAATATCTGCTCTCCTTTCTAAAGAGAACCGTGGCCAGCACAAGTGCAGAGCAGGAGGTAAATGAAAGCGCTGTGGACCCAAAAGACTGCAGCGATCTTTAGAAAGTGCTTTGTCTGGATTTTTTTTCCCCCGGGGAGGGGAGGGAAGAGGGAGTCGAAACAACATCTTGTTACTGTTATTTCACACGTGCTGGCATTTTGTTGGCCATAAAAAGCCAGAGAGGACAATATGGACGCGGGGGTGGGGAGGAGATAAAGACCCTCTGTCCAACCAGTGAAGAACCGTGTGTTTGACACGGGTGAGAAAGGGCTCAAGCGGCTCGATGATGAATTGGAGAGAGTTTTTTTTTGCCTTAAAGCAATCTGTGTCCACAAGGATTAGGTCAAATCAGCCAGAGCTCAGTCTGTGGACGTCTCTTAGTCACCAGTGACAAATCACGTGTGCCAGTGATTACTGGTCTCCACACATACTTGTGTTTCCTGAAGTAAAGAGTGAGGCTATTTTAATGTATTTTGCAGCCCTGGACAGCCGATGGGAAGGTTAATTGATCCAGCCGTTGACATTAAAACGGCACTCGCCATGCATGGGACATCCATTATCAATCCTTGCATCTGATACAGTGCCTGATCACGTTCATTGAGACGTCTTAAAGCGCTTCACAGGATATACAGCAAAGGGGAGTGACTAAGTATTTTGCGGGCGAAACATGGCAGCCAATTGCGCACAGGAGTGTCCCAGAAACATTTGTGGATTGAGCGACCAAATTATTTTGTATTATTATCCCCGGAAAGCGATCTGCCAATCGACTAACAACTGGTTTCCTACTTCCTGCTAGGTAAACAGAGGTGTGTGGAGTAAGCAAACTTGAGTAAGGTTTTGCCCCGCTTGGGAATTGAACCCGGGTCCTCTCACTTGCGAGGCGAGCGCACTAACCACTACGCTACAGGACTCCACAGAATAGAAGATAGAAGAGACTGGAAAACCAAACGGGGTGGCGGTGGAGGGGGTGTGGGCGAGGTTGGGTAATAATTAGGGAACATCACAGATCACAAGGAGAGAGCGACACAGGTTAAGGTAAACCAGAGATGAATTGCTTTTGCAGGGTGGCTTGTATCCGACCCAAGTGGACCTGAGTTACATCGGGCCATTCAAAAGGTTTCAGTGATTGGCACCGTCCTAAACTCTATGCTAACGGGACTGCAGAATAGATGAACACAGAGGGGCAATGTTCGTTTGTCCGTTTGTTCAGCAGTCTTGAGAATTCATTCGGATGTAAATTTCTCAGCGAGGTCCTGCTAAACAGGACAACCTGCTAGACTGCGATCTGCGAAACCAGTACTGAGCTGTACCATCCGCAGGCTCCCAGAAAGACGTTCCAACGGACTTTATATTACCTCCCCTGCTCTGCCCTGCAGTCTATCCAGAACTCTGCAGCCCACGTCCTGTCCTGAACCGGGCTCCACACAACTATCCACCACCCTCACTCGCTCAGCTCCACTGGCTCCCCGTCCCCCAGCCGATTGAGTTCAAGTTCGAGGGAGAGAGAATAGCACCACGGGATCTTTATAACTTCCACCTGAACAGGCAGACGGGACCTTGGTTTAACGTCTCATCTGAAGGATGGCACCTGCGACAATGCAGCACACACCCTAGCGCTGCATTCGAGCGTCGGCTTAGACTATGTGATTCCATGTCCCGACGTGGGGGCTTGAACCCAACTGGCTCCCTTGTAAAGTGAGTGCAATACACTACGGGACTGCAGTGGGATGCACCATCCATGGGGTATTTCTTTTCAGAACTCCGAGTGCAGGTGAAGGGCGCTATGTAAATGCAAATTGCTGTCACTGTTTTTACTAACCTGTGCAGCCAGCGCTTATAATAGAGGGGCAAAACTCCATTTGGACCTTGGGTCTGAAACGTGTGGAGGAAATCTTCGAACTGCGTGAGTGTCCGAGCTATCAGCTGGTCTATGCGAAACGGCTGCAAATCCGTCCCGTTCTCTCGGTTGTGGCGCTGAATGATATCGTTGATGCAAATTGTCGGGTTGCTGTTGCTGACGTTGAATCCGCAACCTTTCAAAAGAATAAAAAAGACCGCAATATGTTTCAGTTCCTAAAGAACGCAGCGACTGACTGAACTCTCGCTTAACTCTGTACGGCCACCTACACGCATAGTTTATTAGTTAGACCGTTATCTGGGTGTTCACAAAGTCCTGTTACCCCACCTGCGTGTATTTTTTTTCTTACAGTGAATTTTTATTTTCTGTTGCAGATGAGGAGGGTAACAATGTCTTGAAACCAGTAACTTCCTCCTCTCTCCATCCAGAACTTCCTCCTCTCTCCATTACAGAGGATGTGGCACTGAACATGGTGATGGATCATTATCTGCCATGAAAATTATGGCGCTCGCTCACTCACAGCCCATCTCGACATCTAACTACAATTAAACACTTGGGCTGAATACAATTAAGTACTTCTAAATACAATCATCATCATTCCTCTACATGCTTCAGTCGTTGGTCAGTGCACTGTGGAAAAAAACACACGGTGGTAACAGGACTTTGTGAACACCCTGGATATAAAACAGCTTCTTATGTGTACAAAGATGATGCATGCTCTTTTGTAGCCTATGTTTTGTATTATGAGTGAACGATATTTAATAAACCTATTTTTAAAAAGCTTACAGATCGTAATCATAATCCTTACATTTGATGTAGTATCTCAGTGTGGCAAAACGTCTCAAAGTGCTTCACAGAGTTTCTCTTCACTACTGTAAAGTGTAGCGGCTGTGTATTTTGTAGGCAAAAGTGGCAACCAATTTGCACGCAGCCATGTCCTACAAACGGCCACGAAGTGAATGACCAATTTTTTTTAATGTGTTGCGGGATTGTTGGTCTCTTTTCGACCAAAGCCACGGGATCGTTAACATGAATGGGCAGACAGGACCTCGGTTAACGAATCATCCAAAGTACGTCACCTCTGACAATGCACCGCTTCCCCACCACAGCACTGGGAGTGTCAGCCTGGACTGTGAGCTCATAGGCCCAATGTGGTGCTTTAACCCACAACCTTCTCGCTCAAGAATGCTACCAACATCTGAGTCAGGCTGACACTCCAGTGCAGTGCTGGGGGAGTCCTGACTGCATTGTCGAGACGTTTGGACAGACATGGTGAGGCGGGATTTGATGCAGAAACATAGCAATCCAGGGAGATTCTTTGCCAAGGTCACCAAGGTCAGATTTAAGGAGAGTTGTGTGGTGCAGGGGTCACCAGCAACAACAAATTACACGTGTGTTGCGCCTTTCACGTCAAGAGGACGTCCCGAGGCGCTGGACTGTCAAGGATTCGCATCCGAGCAAGGAGTTGGGATCAGGAGGGGTGGAGGGCAGGGAGGGTGGGGGTAGGAGGGTGACCGAAGGCACAGTCGAAGAGGATGGTCTTGAGATGAACTTGAAGGAGGCAAGGGAGGGGCGAGGAGAAGGGAGTGTGGGATGGAGTTCCAAAGGGTGGAGGTTGAAAGCCCGACCGCTGATGGTGGCGCAGTCCGGTCGGGAGACATGAAACATGTAAGGAAGAGCAAGGCTGTGGAGAGCTTTGAAAGTGAGGTCGAGGATTTTGAACTCTCTCCTCTGGGGAATGGGGAGCCAGTGGAGCCAGGTGAGAGCGGGGGTGAGATAGGTTCACAGAGCTCTTTTTAGGACAGTTAGCTATCAGGGCAGACGGACAGGTAGGAAGGGAGAGTTCACAAAAGACAACTTTGGCAACTAGTCAGGGGTGACTTGGTGGAATGATGTAAAAAAAAGTTGTTTTTAACAGCTACTTTTCGCGAGTCCAATAGTGGGTTGTCAGAGGTTACAAGATGAGAGTTGAGAAAAATTAGGATAAATTGTGCATAAGCCTGAAAGTACAGTTTAGCTGAGAAACACTAACAGATCCGTCCTTGATAACTTAGCCTGAATCCCAAGAACCGTCTCGAAAGTGCACGTGTCCGAAGTCTGACATTTCAAATCATTTTGGTTTTGTCCACTTGAGCACTTAAAAAAATGAACTCGTCACACTTTCTTTCAAAAAGCATACATTTAGCAATAATTGTATGTGGCTGTTTCAAAATACAAAGTCTTTAATGTGGGAAATAATTCTGTCTTTATGGGAGAAGCAATACTATCATTATGTGATGGAGGGGGGTGTTAAAAATTCTAAGCATTTAACAACAGTAACTTGCATTTATACAGCTTTTCATGCATTTATACATTTATTATTCATGCAGGGTAGCATCCCAGAGCGCTTGACAGTGGCGGAGCACGACACCGAGCCGGAGGGAACGGGGGAGGTGACTGTAGGCACGGTTGAATAGGAAGGTTTTCAGGCATGACCTGAAGATGGGGAAGGATGGGGTCGAGGCAGAGGGATAGAGAGAGAGAGTGTACCAGAGTTTTGGGGCGTAGTGGCTGAAAGCGCAGTCACTGATGGTGGAACAGAGGGCACGAGGGTCATGCAGGAGTCCAGAGCCAGTCGAGTGGAGGCAGTAGGTAGAAGGTTGGGGAGTAAGCAGGTCGGGGAGGTAGGGAGGTACCAGGGCATGAAGGGATTCGAAGACAAGTGTGAGGATCGTGAAATAGATTTAACACACTAAACTAAGTATTAATACACAGTACCATACCAATAAGTACATGAAAAGTTGTTCCCATCAAGGTGGAGGTAACCAGAGCGCCACCCAGCTTCATGAGGCCACTGTAGTAAATATCATTGGGCCATTTAACCCTCAGATCAATGTCCTAAATAAAACAGCAAGTGTGCAGTGCGTGAAACTCTTTAATTTTCCTAAACAGAATAAGATGCAGATGAATTATGGCAAGAAACAGATGATGAAATCTCTCAAGAACACTCTTCCTCTCTCTCTCTCTTCCACAGTGCTTGTTATCATCTTTCCCCTCCCCTCCCCCTTCCTCTCCCTCCCTCCCTCTCAGCCCCCGTATCCCACACAGCACTGTGAAGCATGTGCAGACGTCCTCCCAACATGAAAGGCGCTGTTGTGAACGTAAATGGTTCTTACTGAATTAATACCACAAACAATGGCAATAGTTAATGCCTGACATCAAACCCTCTGACTACAGCAATAATAGTATAATAATAATCCTTGCATTTGATATAACAATCCTTGCATTTGATGTAGCGCCTTATCGCGTCTTCGCAACGTCTCAAAGCGCTCCACAGAATATACTGTAAAGTGAATTGACTGTATATTTTGTGGGCGAAATGCGGCAGTAATGCATTGGAGTTTGGAGTGTCGTCTTGGACGGTGAGCTCACCGTATCAATCAAATGCAACTGAAAAGAGCTGCTGCTGTTTGGCAGGACATACAAAGAACAATTCACCCGCATCTTGTATGAATGGCTGGATACTAAACCATGACAATGTAAGAGCCCTTCCCTACCACCCGCCAGAACAAAATGCATCAAAACCTCTGGGGAGAGTGTGTATGATATTTAAACTTCATTCGCATTGCGGTATATATTCTGCGAAGGCGTCTCAAAATCGTGATAAGGCCCTATATCAAATGCAAGGATTAATATTATTATTAATTTGCTTCACGCCTCACCCATTATTGGAGATCTACGGCAGAGATGTGGGTTTTTGTGTCTGATTATAATAATAATAATCCTTGCATTTGATATAACGTCTTATCACGTTGTTGAGACGTCTCAGAGCGCTTCACAGAACGATAGATTTGTGGGTGGAATGCGGCAGCCAATTGCTGACAGCAGTGTCCCACAAACAGTCGTGGACTGAGTGACCACATTTTGTTTTTGGTTGGGGGTGGGGTGGGGGGGGAGGGGAGAGGAGAGGGATTATTAACCCCGGAAAGCAATCCGTCGATCGCCAAACAGCCGGTTCCTATTTTTACTGTTAGGTAAACAGAAATGCATGGAAAGGGAAACTTGCATTAGGTTTCGCCCCATCTGGGAATCGAACCCGGGTCCTCTGGCTTGCAAGCTGAGCGCGCGAAACCATTACCCTATGGGAGATTGTGCCCGTCTGGGTCCTCTTTGGAGTCAATTCAGCTGAATGCAGGTGGGTACGGTAAACGGAGGGTCAAACTGGGGCTGTTTTGACAGTGACATACAGGAGCAAACAGACTGACAGACCCATGTATGTCAATCCAAAGAGCCGTCAAGAGCTAAAGCTCCACAATGCAGCGAGCTGGGTCACAAAGAATTGTGAATTCAGTCATTCGGACGCCTCTCCGTCATGATGAATGCCAAGCCACACGATTAATTAAACTGGCCCGGGGAATCAATGCAAAATGTCACTGCTGTGGGCACGTAACCAATTCACAGTTCGTCTGTTTGGGCATTTGGATAATGGAGTTAAACAGTGGTGATCAGCTATCAGAACATCAGTCAGGCACTGATGGCAGCAGCGCTGAAATCTTACACAAACGCTCCCCGACCTCGTCACTGGTGTAGTTTGTGGTTGCAGCGGTGGGGATTGAAATGAAGTCCTGTAGCGTAGTGGCTAGCGCGCTCGCCTCACACGTGAGAGGACGGGGTTCGATTCCCGGGCAGGGCAAAACCTTAGGCAAGTTTTCTTACTCCACACGCCTGTTTACCTAGCAGTAAGTAGGAACCCGGTTGTTAGTCGATTGGCGGATTGCTTTCTGGGGTTAATAATCCCTTAACAAAAACAATATTAATAATAATTTAGTCACTCAATCCACGACTGTTTGTGCTGTGCGCAATTGGCTGCCATGTTTCGCTCACAAAATATACAGTCAATCCATTTTACAGCATATCCTGTGAAGCGCTTTGAGATGTCTCAACGACGGCACTGTATCAAATGCAAGGATTATTATTATTATCCTTTTGAAAGAAAACATACAGGGGCAGCCCTAGTGGGGGAGTGGACAGTTCCACTTTACACACGAGGAGCTTACTTGTTTGAATCCTGGTCCATGGCTAGTTTGCCTAAAGGGCTAAATTAACTCAGTCAGGGAGGAAAAAATCAGCCTGGTCCTGCTCCTGTTCCCTCTGTAGCACCCTCTACTGGTTGTGTGTGGCGATCGGGTGGGTGAATGCCAGGCTCGGCTGTAATGACCACTGCAGGCGAGTGACCTGCCAACACTCAATGCCAAGGCTCAACATAACAACAACAGTGTGCAGTTATACAGTGCCCTTCACGTGCGGCAGTGTCCTGGAGCGCTTAACAGTAGTCAAGCCGGGGGTGAGGAGGTGGACGAGGAAGGTCTTTATTTGTGATGTAAAGTGGGGAAGGAGTGGACAGGGCGTAGGGGTTGAGGGAGAGAGTTCCAAAGCTTTAATGCTTAAGGGAGTGGGGGGGAACCAGAAGGTAACCAACGTCTGTGGTATCACACCCTGGGCAGAGACAGAGCTATATGGCAATGGGAAGAAAAATAACGAAAAACAACTGGAACCAATATAATGTATTTTTTTTTAAAAATCGTATTTTTTGCAAATGATAATAATAAAAAAATCATAAAACAGATATTTTCCAGATCCTTACAGGATATATATATATATACATAAAAGAGAGAGAAAGAGTCTGTATAATAACATGAAAGAACACAGTTTGACCGACCTCATATCCTGGTAAGCTTAACACAGCTTCCACGACAGCCAGTGGTACTAAGTGCTGGATGAACGGTATGCACCGGCCAAGCTCCGAGTGCAAGGGAATGCAAACGTGCGCAGTAAACATTGCACTGCCCTTGGGGCTAATCCAGGCATTTCTTCCACGACCTGAAAAGTACACAGAACAACTCAGGTCAGGATAAACACTACAGTAAAACTCGCACAAGTCTTATCTTTATGAATCGTATAATCGCCAAAGTCGTACATTCACCCGAGTCCCGTTCCCGTTTCCTAGCAAAACCACTTAGAAGCATTTATTTGCACTGCTCTTATTAATCGCCTCCTAACTCGTAACTCCACTCCCCTTCCTTGCTTCGAATCATGGGAAGTGACACCGTGACCAGTCGACGGATGCACATTTACCGGCTGCATTGAATTACACGTGCGGAGTGTCGATTATTTATTAAATCTGGTTTTAATACGATTTACACGGTTTGCCTGCAAAGCGCTCGGGGATGGAGTATATCAATGTGAGTTATTGTTGTAATCTGTACATTCCACACAGTGCCTTTCACGGGACGATTTCTGGCTTCACAGGATTTACTGGAAGGTGCAGTGTCTGTATTTTGCGGGCGAGTGCGCAACCAATTTGCACAAAGCAATGCCCAACGTCCAGCCACGAAGTGAATCCGGCCGCTGAGCTGTTTCCGAGCGTTTGACGGAATATAGTGTGAAGTGCAGTAACTGTATATTTTGTGGGTGAAACGCAGCAGCCAAATGGGCACAGCAACATCCCACCAACAGTTGTGGATTGAGTGACCAAATTATTAGTATTATTATTAGCTTTAAGGGATTATTATGCCCGGAAAGCAATCCACCAATCGACTAACAATCAGATTCCGACTTACAGCTAGGTAAACAGAGGTGTGTGGAGTAAGGAAACTTGCCTAAGGTTTTGCCCCGCCTGGGAACACAGGTCCCCTCGTTTGCGAGATGAACGCGCTAACCAATACTCATTACTAGCGTGTTCCAGCCTAGCGGGGAGGACGGATCTGACTGTTGTATTGAAGCAAGAGACAAACAATACACAGTGGGTGAAACTCTTCAAATGAGGAGCATCCTTGTTCTCCCTCCCCCCCCCACCCAGCCCCGATTTTATTTTCTCTGTAAGCAATTTAATCACAGGGGATATAGGGTTTCAGCAATAAAGAGCTAAGGGGAACTCAAACCTTTTAAGTCGAGCAATATCTCAGATGATGTGCTTTATGACATTCCGCATCTGAAAATGCATAAACTAACCCAGCACATTGAGATGAAATAAATCTGGTTTGACGTATGTGGCCCCCTCCCTTCAATGTCCGTCTCGGGACCTTCCTCTTCGACCGTGGCTTCGGTCATCCTCTTATCATCAACACCCTCCTTGCCCTCCACCCCTAGTGGCCCCAAACCCCAGCTCAGGTGCAAATCCTTGACTGTCCAGCACCTTGGGACGTCCTCCCGACTTGAAAGGCACTGTACACATGTAATTTGTTGTTGTTGTTGTAGCACGGTGGTTTAGTGACCCACCCCCATCCCCACACACACACCCAGGAAGGGCTGTAGAACAGACACCGGTCAACGCTTCTAGGTCATCAGAATAGGGGCAGATAATGTCTCATCTGTCCTTCCAATGAGACTTTAAACCAAGGTCTCGTCTGCCTGTTCAGGTGGGGGTTATAAGATTCCCTGGCACTGTTTGAAAAGAGTAGGGAATTTCTCTCTCGCTCGGCGTCCTGACAACAATCCTCCAAAGTAAAAAAAAGTGTTCACTCACTCCATGGCTGTTTGTGGGACGCTGCTGTACGCAATTGGCTGCCGCCTTTTGCCCACAAACACACAGTCAATCCACTTTACAGTATATCCTGTGAAGCGCTTTGAGAGGTCTCAATGACGTGATATGTGCAATATCAAATGGAAGGATTATTGCTATCATCATCAAAACATGCGTTGAGCGTGTCTGGAGGTTCTGGACTGTCCTTCTGCATGTCTTATCAGGTCATCAAGATGTCTCGGGGGGGAGAGGGGGGGAGGGGGAGGTAAGCGGTGTCTCCTTGGAACTGAACTGGTTTCTGAGCCAAGCAGTCCACAGTATGTTCTGTGAAGCGCTTTGGGACGTCCTCCCGACGTGAAAAGCGCTATATCAAATGCAAGGATTATTATTATTATTATTATTATTATTATAGTATTCCAGGGCACTGTTGATGACAGCACGACACAGCCTGGCTCATCGGCAGGATCTGGAAGGGCAGACCAGTCACTGTGGGCAGGAATCCTCCTGTTAATCCTGCAAGCCAAAGTCCTATCAGCTAGGGTGGTCCTAGCTGGACAAGCAGCGGGAAGCTTGCCCAATAGAGCTATCAGACACCTGGCTAACCGAAAAACAAACATCTCTCAATCTCTTTCATGCTCACACTTCAGAGCAATGGTGTACACACCAGGCCACAGGCACTGGTTTCTGTTACTACCTGAATGCTGAGAAGCAGCAAAAGGAGTCCTGTAGTGTAGTGGTCAGCACACTCACCTCCCAAGCAAGAGGACCTAATTTCTATTACTGGGTGGGGCGAAACCTTGGGCAAGTTTCCTTACTCCACACCCCTGTTTACCTCGCAATAAGTAGGAACTCAGGTGTTAGTCGATTGGCTCTCCAAGGGCAATAAATAATTCCTCCAAAAAAAAATGTTGCGACTCAACTACGACGGTTTGTGGGACACGACTGTGCGTAATTGGCTGCCATGTTTCGCCCACAAAATATATACTCAATTCACTTTACAATATATTCTGTGAAGCGATTGAGACGCCTTAACAATGTGATAAGGCACTATATCAAATGCAAGAATTATTATTATGATTATTATTGTTGTGACTGGTGTTTCTGCAGCGTTTCAATGTTCAACTGTATCGTAACTTCAACTGAGCAGTGCCTTTAAGCGGAGAGAACAAGTGTTCAGGAAATCAAAAGGGATGGAAAACTACTGACCTTTGCCTTGAGTCTGTCGAGCTGCAATGGCAATTAACCCCACTTCCTCTGGTAACTGAAGCATCCACCTGCCAATTGTGGGAAAAGGTGGTCAGCTGGAACAAAGTGTGGACAATTTGAAGCTGCGTGCTCAACTCTCTGCAAAATTTTAGCACTTAATCCGGCATTTTAACCCTGTCATTAAAGGCAATCCCAGCACTGAATCTAACACGTTGCGATTTTCTTTGCAACTGATGCAGCCTCTTTCACATCAGAGTTCCACAGAGTAGTGGGTTAGAGCATTCACCTCGCAATCGAGAGGACCTGGGTTCGATGCCCAGCAGGGTGAAAAGTTGGGCAAGTTTCCTTACTCCACACGTCTAATAATAATCCCTCAAGAAAAAAAAACAATAATAAATTGGTCACGTCAATCCATGACCGTTTGGGAGACACTGCTGTGCACAATTGGCTGCTGCGGTTCATCCACAAATATACAGTCAATTCACTTTACAGTATATTCTGTGAAGCGCTTTGAGACGTTTAGAAGACGTGAAAAGCGTTGTATCAAATGCAAGGATTATTATATATTATATAAGTAGGAACCCTGTTGTTAGTCGATTGGCGAATCGCTTTCCAGGGGAAGAATAATCCTTCCAAAAAAAAAATTGCTCACTCAATCCACCACTGTTTGTGGGGACGCCGCTGTGTGCAATTGGCTGCTGCGTTTCGCCCACAAAATATGCAGTCAATCCACTTTACAGTATACTCTGTGAAGCGCTTTGAGACGTCTCAACGAGATGATAAGGAGCTGTATCAAGCGCAAGGATAATTATTATTGCTGTACTACCCGAACTCTTTAAGAACCACTTTTCAGTGAGATTTCTCAGTAGCTCGCTAAATACAGTATCATAAGGTATGCATTATAGAAACAGAGAGCACACAAGGAGCAATTTCAATACTGGAATCACTAAAGACAAAGCTTTATACAAGAAATCTGTTGATCCATGGTGTTGAGAAACCAGTCGCCACTGAGCGATTATTTGATTGAACCGAAGCCAGAAAATCCACGGATTCTAAGAAACGGCCACAGTAGATAAACAATAACTTGCAGGCACTGAATAAGATTACTGAGGTCACTATTTGAGAGTGAAATCAATCACTGTTAAAACTACCCAGAGCTTTAATATTTTTTGCTAACAGAGCTCCTTAAACTTTATTCTCCTTCCTCACCAGTGCAATGTCAGCCAATAACGATACAATTTACATTTACAAATGCCTTTCATGTCGGGAAGGCGATTTACAATATGAGATGGGTGACCGAGCCAGGTGGGAAGCCGGGGGGGGGGGGGGGGGGTAGAGATGATGTTTTGAGACAGACCTTGAAGGAGGGAAGGGAGCGAGTCGGAGGGACTCCAGGCTGGAGTTCCAGGAAGCAAAGTGACTCTCTGCAAAGCGAGGGCACGGAGGGGGAAGGTGAAACGTGCCACGGGAGAGGTGACCATAGGAAGATCAAAGAGGTTGTGTTTTAGGTGGGATATAAAACTAGACAGAGAGATTGGAGGGTGGGAGGGAGCTCCAGTGGCTTGGTTGCTGAAGGTTGCACCCTGCCCTGCCCAGGGAATCGAAGCCAGGCCTCTCGTTTGCGTTAGATTTGAGAACTCTAACCAATGCCCCACAGGACTCCATTTTGAAGCGCTTTGAAATGTTTTCAATGTCATCGGTGCCATCTGAAATATAAGGATTAATATTTTTCTGACTGTGCTGGACAAAAGGATTTTAAATACAGGGTCATAAGAACCCCAGAGTCTCATTATAAACTTACGCAGAATACATTTTGCTCGAAGACTTTGCTCTGAAAGGGAAATATATCGCGCTAGACAGCTATTGTTCACTAACACTGCCCTCCTTCACCTCCTTCCTCTCTCAGCACCGTTTGCTCTTCATTGTTCTCGATTTTCATTAAAGCTAAAAAGACCTTTCGCTGTGCACTTTGCCCAGGCAGCGAACAGATGTGCCCTTATATTATGTGGGTACGAAACAAGGCACCACATCTGTTCTCCGGCTGCAATATCAGTGTTTGCTCGGAACATAAAATGTCACTGAGCATCACCTAGTCACTCGCTTGTAATTGGCTTAACTCCGTAATGTGATAACCATTGATATTCTTAATTGCGAAATAAGGCAAATCTCATCGGAGGGCTCTTTCACGGTTCAGGCGTAGGGAGTTCAGCTAAGGTTGATGGAAAAGTTCTCCAATAGACGTGAGTGGGAGCTGTCAGAGAACTGCACAAGAACTCGCACAGACAACAAAAGCAAATTTGTGCTGAGAAATGCAGCGCATGACATGGTAATGGGTTTTTAACCCTATTGATCGGCTACTTATACGTGAGAGGCCACACCGGATTCCAATAATATTCCTTGCATTCGATATTGCGCCTCATCACGTTATTGAGACGTCTCAAAGCGCTGCACAGAATCCACTGTGACTGCGCATCTTGTGGACGAAACGCGGCAGCCGTTCGCACACAGCAACGTCCCCACAAACAGTCATGGATTGAGTGCGACCTTTTGGGGGGATTATTACCCCCCGGAAAGGGATCCGCCAATTGACTAACACCCAAGGTTCCTATTGACTACTAGGTAAACAGAGCCATGTGGAGTAAGCAAACTTGCCTCAGGTTTCGCCTGTCCGGGAATCGAACCCGGGTTCTCTTGCTTGCGAAGCGAGCGCTCTAACCACTGCGCGACAGGGCTCCACTAATTTACCGAGGCTAGTGTGAATGTTCAGTGGAGGAGCGGGCTGGTACCACTGCCCTAGCACAACTCCACGTTTAATTACAACAACATTTGTGTAGCGCCTCTCACGCAGGAAAGCGTCCCACAGCAGCCACAGTAAACAGGCACATCGATGGGTCAGAGATCTCAAAAGAATTGTCAAACGATGGAAACGTAATGAATTAAAGCAGACGGTAAATGCTTTGAGACACTGACCTGATAAGATCCCTTCACCAAATGGAAGGATTGCTATAACAGAAGTCGAGTCTAACGTTAATCCTAAAGTCAATTATTTTCGGTGTCGGTTACAGTTACATTAAAGAACCACATAGAGGGGAACGTTAAAGACCTGGTGGCTAAGAGAAGGGAGTTTCTCTCCCATCTAGGCAACAGTCTTCCGAGTTTCTCTCTTACGTCAGGGCAGCGTTCCTCCCAAGATGTACTCATTCATGGCTGTTTGTGGGACATTGCTGTGTGCAAGTTGCTGAGCTTAGTGCAAATATACAATCACTGCACGTCACAGTAATTACAGTGAAGCACTTTGATACGACTGGTTGGCGTGATAAGGAGTTATATCGAATGCAAGCATTATTACTGTTACAAAGCAGCACCACGCAATGCACGTTACTTTTATGTGTGTTATTTTTCATGCATACACTCACTGCCCTCTACAGCATATTGTGGCAGACAGACACACAGCAGTCTGATGTGAGTTACAAGGGCTTAAGCAATCAAGAGAAGATCAAACTGTGGGAGTGAAGCTTGGCTGTTTATCAAAGCTATTTCACGTGAAATGCATTCTCTCCTTTGGATCACACTCTCGACTCACTCTCCATTTGCTTTTTCCCTTTATTTTTCCATTCGCTTTCTCCTTTATTTTGCCGGTGGGATTAGCATGACAAACAGTAACAGATGGTTGCCTCCCACATGTGTACAGGGTAACTTTGCCAGTCACGAAGCTGGCATTTATATTAATGGCTGATTGACGGATCGCTTTCCGGATGTAATAATGCCTCCGCAAAAAAAAAATACGCAGTCACTCAATCCACGACTGTTTGCGGGTTACTGCTGGGTGCAATTGGCCTCAGCGTTTCGCCCACAAAATACACAGTCGATTCACTTTACAATCTATTCTGTGAAGCGCTTTATCAAATGTAATAATGATACATTAATATTATATTAAATTCACTACAATTGGAAACGTAATGGATTCATACGTTGGTTTGGATGTCTCGAATCTTTTTTTAAAACAAATTTGGAACCATAGTTACTTGAATGCTTCTTTCTCCCAGTGGTGTCCCGGTCGACCATCCTCCAGGTAAAATTGGTAATTCGCTTCATGGCTGTTTGTGGGGACATTGTTGTGCGCAAAACTAGCTGCAGTATTCACCGACAAAATACACAGTCACTTTACAGCAAATCCTGTGAAGCGCTTTGAGACGTCCTCCTGACGTGAAAGGAGCTGCATCACATGCGCGATCGATTGTTTTCAGGACTGAGAATCCATTAAAGGCATCAAGCGATCTAGACGTGCGTAGTAATAATCCTTTCATCTGATGTAGCACCTTATCACATCGTTAAGATGTCTCAAAGCGCTTCACAGAAGATATTGTAAAGTGGAGTGACTGTATATTTTGTGGGCGAAAGGAAGCAAGCAGCCAGTTGCATACAGCAGTGTCCCACAAACAGTCGTGGATTGAATGACCCAATTTTTGTGTCTTTTTGAGGAATTATTACCCCCTGAAAGCATTCCACCAATCGACTAACAACCGGGTTCCTGCTTACTGCGAGGCAAACAGAGGAGTGGAGTAAAGAAACTTGCCTTGGGGATCGAACCTGGGTCCTCTGGCTGGCGAGGTGAGTGCTCTAACTCATACCTTTCAGGACTCCACAATCACAGAAGAGTTTAAGCATTTCACCCGAGAATCTAGTCGCGGTCTTAGTAGATTTTAGGTACGACTCAACTGTACCTATAGCAACTACCTCTGGTGTGCCCTGACATATTACTGTAATGAACTAGATATGAGTGACACTTCAAAACTAATTATGTGCCATTTAGCGGCGTTGTGAAGAATTGTAATGGATTCCAGTGGCGCTGTTATTGCAGTGCGGGCACTTTTCACTGGAGGTGCTTTTGACACGGGATTACTTTCTAGAGGAATGCATTAGTCATGCTAAACAGTGGCAAGCTTCTGACTAGCCTGATAGATTGCACCGCACTTCAAATCAGAAACTCCTCTTATTGACAGCTTCTCATCGACCATCAAAGAGCATTCGTGTGTTTAGGAGCTGGAATGTTTTGTAGAATCTCAAG